AATATTGCAAATATATATACAATAGACTGGCTCTTAAAAATTAATTTCAAACCGCCGGGCAGAAAAAGTTTCCTTTTAGTCTTAATTCTGCGTTGGGAGTTTGCCTCTCCGACGTCAGGATTTTCTTAAAAGGACTTTCAAAAATATGATTGATCCAAAAAATTATTTAAAAAAAAATGTAGTGCAATGTGGAATAATAATATGGGTACCAAATGAAAGAGAAAATTCTATAAAATTTAAAAAATTTGCAATGTTTTGGTTGACAAGGACCAATAGGCATTGAAAATATGCTTTTAATTAATTTAATTTTTCTAAGCTAAGTTGGAAGGGCGAAATTCGAGGACGTGGGCGTGTGTATACTACTCCTTAGCATAACATTTTCAAGAATATTCCAATTCCAAAAAATTTTAATTTTTTAATTCGAAAAAAATAGTCTCTTTTATATGATACCCGCATTGTTGTTCTACATTGCATAGAGTTTTTTTTTAAATATTTTTTTGAATTTATTATATCTTTGAAATTTCAAAGTCCTTTTAAGAAAAATACTGATGTCAGAGAAAAAACTGAAATTGAGAAAATTGTTATCACAATCTAGTATTAATGTGGAAAATTGCTGCTTTAAGTAAGAATACAATAGTCCCGTACGAGTCCGGAATAGTCAGAGTTTACAGGATTTTTGGATTTCAATTGAACTAACAGGTCAATTTCAGGATAGAATGATGATGTTTTTGATCTTATGTTTTTCTTATCTTTTCTGATTGTTTGCTCCACTATATATGTATGTATGTATGTGACACTCACAAAATTTCGGAAAAATATCCAAAAATCGAATCTTCGAAACGGCAAAAGTTCTAGTTCTACGCTAGTTCTCAGCTAGTTAGATTTCCTGCCGGGTAGTTTCACAATTTAGTGCAAATTACTAGCTAAAGGTTTCTCTTTGCAGTATTTACGCCTCTTGATATTGTTTTTGTTGCATATGTATCTCTAAACTGTGCAGATTTTTCAAGATTTGTGGGAACAAGTGCATGTGGCGAAATTTTTTTTTTTTTTACAAAATAGTCTTAAATATAAATGCATAGGTACATGTGTGTGTAGAAGCATGCATACATATGTATGTACATAAATAGATTTGCTTGTTTCTATGCACATGCATTCATTTACATACATACATATTTGCAAGCAATTGCCTATATACTCATTCGTCATGTGGTCTGCCGGCCGGTGTAGAGAAATTTGAAAATTTTTCCCACAGTAGGAAAAAAGAAGCTACGCCAAAACGATTCTTTAATAATATCCTTTATTGCGAAGTCATAGAGGTCATGCGAAACCAATGCCGAGTGTTTTAATAACTTTGTTAAGTTCTATCAAAATCTAAAAAAAAAAATCATAATAACGCCACATGTTTAATATCTGTTAATATATTTTACCATGGAGGACTTACTGCTTTGGTTTTAATCGATTCATTTGCCGTTGTTTCGTTCTATATGACAAAGAGTTTCTTCGAATTAACTGATTATTGATTTCATTAAATTTCAAAGAGTGAAAAACGATTTTAAAAATTCGTTTGGTTCAAAAGCTGAATTGTTGTGGGATGCAATTTTTGAGGTTTACATTTCCCATAGGGATGCATTTATTAATCTAGACTTTTCGACGCCCCCAAATTCAATTTGCATTCTAGGGAGGACAGTACAAGTTCTTATAGCATATGCAACTTTTTTTGCGACAAGTAAAACGGTACTTATGTATGTTTCTAGGTTAAACATCAATCTAAGCCAAAATTTAGTTTCACGCAACACCTCAAGCAAACTATACCTCAAACTTTTTTCCTTAATGAGAATGACTATTGTTAAGAAATATCCTTTTTCATACTCGCATCTTAATGTATGAACATACATATGCATGCATATACATATGCATGTAAAATATTTATTTTTATAATTAGTGCACTTTTTAAATAGTTGACTGAAGCACTCGAATGCAAATTTGTAGGTTCAAGTATTTAAACATGGCCATACATACATACCAGTATATATATGTACATATGTATATACATACATAAATGTACATGTATAATTGTTGATTCTAATTTAGACACTTTAATAAGGCATGAGTAATACTGAATAAAAGGTCATATTAGATATAAGTATTTATATATAAATAAACACGACGATAAAACTTGTTGGCTGTTGAATTTTTTGTACAAGCCAGTTAGGTGCCACTGTTTTTTTTTTTACATCCGACGACATTTCCTGCGTTAGATAAGTAACGTATTAAGAAATTTAGCGGAAACTGCATAAGCTTGCGTGGTTGCATTAGCTTTTCTCGAGGAAATGCTAACACTTTTGTGCTTAAGTTTCTTAACATAAACGTTTTCGCTTCATTGGAGTTTACTATTATGTGATATTTTTTAAAAATTTTTGATTTTTTTTAATATTATAACCGGCCGGCTTTATATTAACCCTTTTTCATTTTGCCCAGAACACTTTTTCTAATGGCAAAGGTATACACATTTTAACGTATGCACTTTTTAAACACTATTTTTCACGATTAACTTGCACAAATTAAGAAAAATATTATTATCTTGCACTTACCCAGCGTTAGCTAGTTAATTTTTAACACAATTTACGGAATGATGTTGAGGATTTTTGTGGTAATTTTCAGATTTATATAAATCGTTAAAAAATACCTGCCACTTACCTCGAGCACAAAAGTCGGAAAGGCCGATTTTCACAACGGCCCTGATGCACATGCGCTGGAATAGTGCCACCACTACCATTGCCAACATCATCACCACCATCATCACAAGCGGGCAGTACATTTGGTTAAATTGGTATGTATGTGGTGCGCGTACCCTTACCGCCGACATTTCTTAGCCCAACGTCATCCTCATTCGAATGGGGTATGTTAGATGGATGCATTGGCGCACTTGGCATACGTTTGTGTGCATGTCAATAAATCACAGTCGATGGGCAACATGCAACGAGCGAGTGCACTAGCTAACGTGTTGTGCATTCACTTTACTAGTGCAAGCGGGAACAAGATCTTTCTTTTACCTACAACATTGGATTATCGACGTGTTCATCTCACGGCCCGTATTTTGTGTATTCCACAGGAGAGTGTACGGATTGGGTTTGAAGACTAGTGTTTGGGGAGTGAGCGGCATGGATACAAATTGTCACATTTGTGGCTAAAAATATGTAAATTTCCTAAGTACATGCAAAAAAGAGATGTTACTTTTGCAATGCACTCTCATTTGTACACAGACATATAACGTAAAGGGGTAAGTTAGCAAAGAAGTAGAAATCAATTATAGGAATCTTAATATGTACTACATATGAATAATTTAGAAAGTTATAATATGTGCAGTTTGTAACGGTCTTTAAGTTAAACTTGCATGCCAAAATACATTTTTGAGTTACTATAAAATTTATTTAAAACTAACCCTTATTAAGCTACATTATTATCAATATCTGGCTTTTATAATCATTTCCATTCACTGTCTGAATCGTATTCTTCCCACGAAGGTTTTTCGCCTAGTTTCAAATTGCGTTGCTTTAAGTATGCGTTAAATTGTTCAGGAATCGACATGAACTTTCGAATTTTCATACGGAACTGTTTCCATGTCCACTGCAGATAATTTCGTCTATCTGTTACCATTGCCTTGTAGTTAAATTTATACTTATCCAGGAAATAACTCAAATGATCCACGGAATTTTTAGGTAACCTAAGTATACATAATATTAAATAACTTCACTTCAACACAGTTTTCAGCGATATATAAAACTTTGTTTACCTTAACAGTTTTTCTCTTGGCGCATTAGCATCTGCTTCCAACTGCTCGATGACATAGCCTCTTGGGAGATCTGTTACTTTTTCATTTAGTTCCTCCTCATCCATTTCCTCTTCCACAAACCCGTTTATTATTTTCACTGCCTTTAGACGATTTTGTTTAAAATTTGGAATTGGTACTGCTTTATTGGGATCAGAAGACAGGCCCATTTCATAGAAGTTTTTGTTGCGTTTAGTCTCTATCCATAGTTTTTTCATTTCAGGACTGCAAAATTATAAATGAATGGCATATATTAATAAATAAATTAATTAAAGTAATTGTCCAATTCTTACTCCTTTATTTTCCCTGTGGCTTCCCGTGTTTTCCTCTTCGTCTTCCTATTGACACTGTACCTAAAACGCTTGCGCTGGTGAATTTTCCGGATCTTCATGGTTATGTTGTCTTAAAAAACCAATTGCTATTAAAATTGAGTGATTAAAATAAGAAATTGATTAAATATAATAACCAAATGCACGTGTTTACTTTTTCAGAGATCTTTGCTTTTTTGACAGCAACATGTAAACATAAAGAAAGGGAAATTCACAGTAGTTTGACAATTTAGTAATCAAATCAACGTTGCATTTGCTGCGTTTTAATAAGGAAGTGATGTTTACGAGAAAAAGTACTTTAAATTTTCCATTTTTTGTTTACAAAGTCGGGTGAAAATGAATCTAAACAAATTTCAAACGATTTTGTGTGTTTAATTTGCAGTTTGAGCTGCGCTAAATTTTGCCTTGGTTAAAGTCTAGGCAGATTTGGTAACTCAAGTAAATTCCAAAAGTTTCGATGGCTGAGTGGAAGATCGACCTATCTCGGCAGCCAGTTCGAAAACGCTCTATATCAAAAAAAAACTTTTCAAGAACGCCCTATTTCAGAATTCGTTTCAAAAACGCCCTATCTCAGCTGCCGATTCAAAAACGCCCTATATCAGCATATTTTCTCATAAAGCAATGTAAGAGAAAATTTGTTATTTGGCACCCTGGCCATTTTCAATACTTATTTCTGAAAATTGACCAAACCAAGGTACATTAAATATGTATGCCGTAATTTTATTTGTTCACACAGGAAAGTGGAATTTCATTTTCTCAAATTGACAGCAAAACACTTTGTCAAAGTATTTGCATTGCCTCTTTTGACTGCACCATTTCATCAGCTATTGTGAACGACAAACAATTTTTTTGTTGCCTGCGTTGGTGTTGTTGTTGCAGCGGCGTCATTTCAACAGCTGTTTTCTAGCCAAACAATTTATACTCGTGTTTATAAATTTATAAACTTAAGTTTTTGAACAAAAATTAATAACGAAAATGCGCGATATTGAAATTTTGGATCCCAGAAATCTTGTGAAGAATCGTGAAATCCTATATAGACTTATTATAAGGTTAGTTAATGGCATAAAACATAATCAAAGGCAACTTCACTTCTGCTTTTAGTCAATTGATGTACGATGGCCTGGAAAAATTTGCAATGGAACTCTCTATGCTCGTGAAAGCAGATGAATGTGCTCCGAGCGAACGCTTGTTACATGTTATGATCGCTGGCATGCAGGCTACAACGGAAAAACCTATAGCTCCTAAGGACGACGTGCTGCCTGGCATTGATTTGGAGTTCGAACCTGAAGCGTCTGCGCTAGCACCTGAGCCAGCTTCTTATGAAACTGCTTATGTCACATCGCACAAGCAATCATGTCGTGCGGGTGCATTTAGCCACGATGGTACATTGGTTGCCACTGGTAGTGTAGATGCTAGTATAAAAATTTTAGACGTTGACCGTATGTTGGCTAAATCGGCACCAGAAGATATTGAACCAGGACGCGAACAACAAGGTCACCCAGTTATTCGTACACTTTATGATCACACAGATGAGGTGGCCTTTTTGGAATTTCACCCAAGAGAACACATTTTGGCTTCTGGTTCGCGTGATGGTACCGTAAAACTCTTCGATATAGCCAAACCTTCAGTGAAAAAGGCACACAAGGTATTCACCGATTGTGAACCGGTAAACTGCTTATCATTTCATCCCACCGGCGATTATATAGCTATTGGTACAGAACATTTCGTTCTGCGGGTTTATGATGTACACACTTCGCAGTGCTTTGTAAGTGCAATACCATCACAACAACACAAGGCAGCTGTGACATGCGTAAAATTTGCACCAACAGCAAAGTTGTATGCTACAGGTAGTTTAGATGGTGCCATAAAAATATGGGATGGAGTCAGTGGACGTTGTATCAATACTATACCGGAAGCACATGCTGGTGCTGAAATTTGCTCACTAGAGTTTACGAGGAATGGAAAGGTAATAAAAAGTTTGTATCGAAAGATACTTTGCAATCAGAATACTGCGTTGAAACGGCGAAGTCAAACTATTTTGCAAACTATCTCCTGAGGTAGTTTTGAAAAAAAAGGAATCTCAACCGTATTCAATTTGAAATCAAAGTGACATTATTTGAAATTTACTCATGGATCAATGCTTCGAGAAGCAAACAAGACCTGTGAATGCCGTTCTAGACACACAACCATCGGACATTGATGAGACGGAGCTTCATCTGCCTCGGGAGACTAGAACCACAAGAGCCCAACTTCGCTCTGACTACTGCAGCAGGTTAAACTCATACTTGAGCAGACTAAACGCAGATGTACCAAATGAGTGTCCCGCATGCGGACAGACACCCCATGACTCGAAACATCTCTTCGTATGCCCGGAAAACCCGACAACCCTAACGCCTTTGTCCCTGTGGACCGACCCTATTGAGGCTGCACGCTTCTTAGGGCTACCGTTAGTGGAACTTGACTACAACGACTGAGATGTTAACCGATCTGGGCGGGGTTGTTGTAGCGGCTACAAAAACAACTACAACAACAAAATATGTAGACGAAAATGTTGTTTTTGCTCTAATGCTTCTTTCTGTTTGATATGACTTGTTTTAAACAAATTCGGCCTTGTCGCGAATTTCACGTGAACAATTATTCCCAAAAATTATTAAGCATAACAAAAACAATTTGTTTCCAATTTGTTTTTGTTTTGCATATTAAATTATGGAACGATTTATTCACATGGAATTGGCAATAGAGCTGATAGACAAAACGATATGTACGTATGTTAAGCTGTAATTTTTTTTTCTTTTTTAACTACTCGCAGTATCTACTCTCATCCGGAAAAGACTCATTAGTCTACTTGTGGGAGCTATGTACAAGCCGCCCGGTACAAACTTACACCGGCGCTGGTACCACCGGCAAACAGGAACACAACACACAGGCCGTCTTTAATCACACTGAAGATTATGTGCTCTTTCCCGATGAGGCAACAACTTCTTTGTGTTCTTGGAATTCTCGCAACGGTGGACGCTTGAATCTGATGTCTTTGGGTCACAATGGTCCAGTACGTTTTATAACACATTCACCGAACTCGCCAGCATTCTTAACATGTTCAGATGATTTTCGAGCACGTTTTTGGTATCGCCGTTCAACAAATCAGTAAGGCAGCAAATAAAATAGTACTTTACAATTGTATTTGTAAAGCTTACACACATTAATTCAACTTATAAAATAGTTAAGCATTTTGCAAATTAAAATAAAGCTTAGTTTTAATGGCAAAAAGCGAAGTGTTTAAATTAATAAACTTAAAAAACAGGTACATACATATGAATGTATCGTAAAATTCCGTGTTTATTACGCACGAAGAAAAATTGATTTGCGTAAGGGCTCAGAGTCTGTAATTGCGTGCGACTCTCCATATTCGGATACAAATTTTCGCGGGTAGGTAATGTAGTTCCAAGTTTGTAAGTGTCATTCTATATTTCCCGTTTAGCCAAGTTTTTGTTTTATTTGCAGCAGCAGTTTGCCGTTAATGGCTTTGTTTGAGCAGTATGCTCGTTTTTTTTTACCAACTGACAAATTCCGTTCACACAATTTTCAAGAATAGTTGAAACGATTCTGGGCACATTTTTGTGAATCTTGCTGCTCGAAGCATTCGAAGAATTCCGACCATAATAAACCAAGTCAAATTAAATGTTTTAAAATAGTTTTATCTGTATGTATGTATATTGCTTTAATTAAATATACAAGGCTTATGAATTCTTATCTAAATAGATACAAAGTTCAGTTGTAATTTAAGGTAATAGACATATTTTCGGCTTAATCAGCCTAATGACTCGCTTAATTTTAACGTATAAAATATTTTAAAAATTAATTACAAAATTTTATTGCTTATTACATTGCCTTTGAGTAAAAATGTTTAATTTGCAACATTCAGCACAACTTATGTGTGTTTTAAAACGTTTAATAAATATAACTATCACTGGAAAGAAAGTCTTGAGTCTAAGGATTTTATTATACATACGTAGGTACCTTTATCATTATATTTTAGTGTAGTCGATAGTATTAAAGTTATATTTATTTATTCAAAAAAAAAAAAAAACACGCATGCATACATATGCACAGGTATACATATATGTATGTGTGTATTTCTCATTGCATGGTTCACGAAAAAAATTGAGCGTTAAGTAAATAAAGGCATAACATTTATATGTATTTTGTAAGTCTTGCTGCTTGTTTATCTTAAGGCTAGTTATAATTTATTAAACATTCGCAGTTCATTGCACAAATTGCTTTTATGTATTTATACATATATTATGTGAGTATTAACTTATATTTATAATAAATATTTACAAAATAAAGGTTTAAAAATAACGAAATTATGTAATATTAAGTAAATTTCAAGTAACTTGAAAATAAAGATCACAAATAAGAATTTTATTAAGATTTGCTAATAACAAGAAAAACGAAAAAGTTTCAAACACAAAAATACTAAATCTAAAGAATACAATAGTTTTGTTTTCAAATATTTTTTTTTTTTTTTTATAAAAACCATAAGCTAAAAAGTGCTTGCTGTTGAATCGATGCTTTGGTAGTTCGATAAGGTAAGAAAAGTATACATATGCGTGAAAAAATTAAGGTTAGATATCTAGTTGTAAAGGCTTCTTATTTCTTTTTAATAAATTTCTACTTATTACAATATATAGTGAAATTTAGTATCAGTTCAGTACGTCCCGGTAGCATAAGGCAAACATTTTTTTTTTAACCAAAGAATAATGTTTTGATTTTTCTCATTCCCAAATGTACATATCGCATACGATCTTCAAAAGTGACACAACTCAAAATTTGACATTTTTGAAATTATGCACTTAAAATGTACTCAGAGCTTTTATTTACTTTTCAGCAAAAGCTGGAGTAAATTTTTGTTATAATTTGTTGAAAAAAACCTAAGGTAAAGTCGTCCTTGTTCATATGATTAGCATGTGCTAAGAAATATTTTTTCGCATTTTCTGACGATCGGGTAATTTTGAGTTGTGCCCCTTTTGAAGACGATGTGTGTATATACATACATATGCATATCGTTGTCACCATAAAGTAGGAACATTTTCTAGAATACTTTTTCCCCACATTTACTTCTTTTTTGAAAGGTCACTAAAGAGTGCTATTTGAATATTTAAGTTTTCCCTCCCCTTTTGGTGACTTGTAAGCATGACTGCCAAAAAACATAATAATGTCGAATACTGTGATCTTAATTCTTGAAATACAGATTTTTTTTTTTAAATGAACCATGTGGAAATTCAAGCGATAGTGGTGCATATGCCGAGTGAGTTAGCGATAAACCCTTTTTATGAGTAGATTTTGCATGAAAGAATAAGGGTGTTCGCTATGCAAAAACTTGTACAAGTTGGTACCAATTGTTACCAAATCGTGTTTATTTGGCCAAAAAGCCCAGTAAAACTTGCAAGGAGGGAGCATAATTTTGACATTCCATTTGGAGGGGAAGTTGCAAATTCGTGCTGGGAAAACTTTTGATAGTAAGAATATGCAAGCAGGATTGTGGCACACGGTTGCATTTTTGTTAACATTAATTTGAATCAAAAAGTTCGTTAAACTTAAAAATGAACAATCTTGTTGCGATTTACTAATGAAAGAAGTATGTAAATATTTGTTTATTCAATTAATTTTATATAAATATAAAAAATTTATTATGTTGGAAATGCAACCATGGACGCCAGCTGGCAGTGAAGCTTGCAAATGTTTGCTAATTGCTGTTCGCACAAAACTTAGTAAGTTTCTCTCTTTGGGAGAGTAAGATACCTTATTCTCTGAATTTTTTTTACTGACTAATTCTTACTGGCATTTGGATAGCGAACAGAACTAATAGCACAAAGTAGTCTGATATGTGTTAGGGTATTAAAATCTGTAAATATATGTACTAAAAATAATTTGTTAGCTTTATTCTTCTGAAAAGTAATCACTTTAGAAACCCTTAGAAAAATTATACAGTCATTTCGTTATAGCTATGGCAATAAGTTATGGAAATGAAATACGTAAATAAGTATAGAAAGTAAAAAAACTTAAAATAGCTAAAAAAAAAAATAATTAGCTCAAAAACATTCTCATGCTGACACTTATCAGACTCAAATTTCTGCAAATGCACGTAAACGTGGCTTAACTAAAAATGTAGTATAAAGTGATGTTGAATTGCAACTGATTTTACATACAAGTAATTGACCGAAAATATTTATAAGTACCTGTGTATTTAATAGTTTATTTATTTTACTTACAATAAGGCTTTTCGAGCTAGGTAATGGAAAAAAGAGCACACAACGACTAAAATATGCGATTGCATTCCAATTCATTCTTAAGTTATATGTACGTTAGACCCTACCACCTTCCCTGTCAATAGTTTGTGAAGCAGTTGATAACACCGCCAATTGTGGTAAAATTATTTACACATACAAAAATCAATATACTCGCGAAACTAGGGGCCAAATATGGTTGAACTGTGTATTTCACATCACATCAGAATTTTTTCAATTTGAAAAATTAGTTTAAAAAAAATTCAGTGAAATTGTAGAATTTGGCCAATTTTTTTGGCAAAAATTAATTGTGGATGAACAAGTAGATGACTTAAAAAACATCATTTTTTATTGATTGATTATTGATTGAACATGAAATTGACGAATTAAACTCAAAACTATTAATTTTGCGCGTTTTTGACAGTCTAAACGGGGCTAAATACGGCCAAAAGTTTAAAAGCATTTCCAAATTTAATTTGTAAGAAAAAAATATAAAAGTACATACGACTTACCGAATTATTTTGCATTACTTTTTTTACGATGCTTAAAATGTTTTTCAGAGTAAATTTTTTTTTTCAGTCAAATTTGTATAAAATTAAGGCTGATTGTACAGAAAACTCATGTGAATCAAAATTTCATACTTTGGAAAAGATTAAGGAAAAATCAGCAAACGTTTTAACTTTTTAATCAGATTGTCCAAAAACGATATGAAAAAAATGTAAAAAAAATTAGAGTTATAGGTCCTAAAACGACCTACCGACCTACAACGACCTTGACTTTGTGATAAGCAGTTGACGTCCGTTTTTTTAGAAAAATAAAAGACGCCGTTATTTGATTCGAAGTTTTCTTTATCAAACACCAAAGACAAAAATTTTACTTTTGTATGTAAGAAATATTACTGCCACGCAAATTTATTAAAATACCTGTAATGCATTTTATAATAATGATATGGGTAACAAACAAAAGAAAAAATTATGTAAAATTAAAAAAAAAATGAATGTTTTTGTTGCATAAGGACGAATATGTATTGAAAAGTGCTTTTCAAATTTTGCTTCTGAATATAATTGAAAAATTTTAATATTTCGTTTAAAAAAATGATATGTTAAAGACTAATATACAAACAACCACATCCTCGAATTTCGAGCTTCTAGCTTAATTAACTTAAAAAAATAAAAATAATCAAAAGCGCTTTTTTTGAATCGTTTTTTTTTAGTAATTTTATAGAATTTTCTCTTTCACTTGGTATCTATAATGTTAATCTATGTACATTACACTTAGCTTTTTAAATAATTGTTTGAATTATTATAGCTCATTTCCACCAAAAGCTTAACTGCAGTTAAGAGCCCAGGCATGCTACTTAGCATGAGCAATTGCCCCTTCGAGGGGTTATCTCCTTTTTCCGATACGAGTAAAGTGCAGTTAAAAAATTTGACTTCTTTGGGAGGAATACATTTTTACTATATTCAGTCCCTAGCTCCGTCAGTATATTGATTGCTTTGAAATTTCTTGTTTGTTATTTTGTCACGCGGTGTAAGCGACCAAAATGAAGCTTCAACGTTTTCTGCAGAAAATCTAGGAAGCAAAAAAAATCGCACCTAATTCGTGCTAGTCATGCTCGAGCGCAAAGATATTATGAGGCCATGCTTTAAAGTCCCACGAAAGCAACTTATGCCGAATTTCCACTAGGCATTGAAATGACAAAAAAAAAATTGGTGTAATTTAAAAAATACCATGTGGAAATGAACTTAATGACAATTTTTTTTTTAACGCAATGATATGCATATTTTTTAATGCCCAACTTTGTCATTAGAATTTGCGTCATTTAGTGCAGAGTGGAAATACGGCTTTAAGAGTTAACTATATATTTCTACCAAGTATGATTTGTTTAGCCGATAAAAACGGCACAACTCAATAGCATGCACTTTTTGAAAAGTTTTTCTCCGCACAAAACTAAGATGAAAGAATTCTGATAAATCGGCGAACAGTAAGATAAATAAAATAAATAGATGTAGCCAGAATACAATAGTACATACATAAGTCAAATGCTTAAACTAATGCGGCTTTCCCACGGCAACCCAATTACGTAGTTTGCTCTCTCATTCGTAATTCGCACTCCAATTACCCACCGCATTACATAATTCGCTATACGAAATTTTGAGGGCGAATTACCTCATTTGATGGTAATTCAGATTCAATTACCATGCGAATCACGAAAATTTATCGAAACTAGCTCACAAATAGAAACTTGCATTTTTTCTGAGTACGAAAATTAAAGTTTATCAATGTGTATATCCTTAATTTAATAAGGAAACTTAGACATTTTTAGGAAGAACCTACATTTTGCATCAATTTTGTAGCGAAGAAAAACAAAAAAAATACACAGAGACAGAGAAACTGTCAAATTGGGGGAGCGAATAAAGTAATGCCGTGGATGCCGTGAGAAAATGGTATAATTCAACTAAGTGCTAATAATTGTTTAGTAACTAGTCAATTATGTAGTACATATGTACATATGTAATAATGAGAGGGTTAAAAAAATGGACGGCTCTTAAATTATATACATTCATATAAAATATCAAAAGGAATTAATATTAAATATTTCAACAATTTATAACTATCTGCTGCTAACTATTATTTTAATAGTAATTTGTGCATTAAATTATAAGGCATTAGTCGTTGAGCTTAAACTATTTTGATTGTTTGCAGTTTTCATTGATTAATTAATTAGTGTGTTATTTTAGGTTTATTTCAATAGATTACAGTTGAATGATGCTTTGTAAGGCTTTTTTTGTGCGCTAAACGTCTTCTTACTTAAAAAAAAAAAATTTATAAAAAAATAAATAAAATTATGCTGATATTGTCACTTGCGCAGCAAATAAATTTAACGAAGCAAACGGTTTGACGAACACACCTAAATGAGTTTTCGATTGTAAAATTTTTTTTTGCACCAAACCGTTCACCACGCTAAATTTATTCGCTTCGCAAGTGACAATAGGTTCGTTATTCGAAAAGTTTAGTAAGAATTGTGCATTATTATAATTCTCTTAAATTCTCTCTCAAGTATAGAAACTTGCAAATTTCTGCACGAACGCAAATTTGCAAGTTTCACTACCAACCGGTGTCCACGGTTGCATTTCAAACATAATACGATTTTATAGTTTTTAAAATTCTTTCGGCTGGAAAAAAAACTGAATTTAAATGTATTGTGATTTTTCTTAACAAGAGAACTTTAACTTTGCGTATACGTACAAATTTTTTGCTCGACGAACAAAACTAATACCATAATTGTAAAACTAAAAAATCTAATCTTTTTGTGCCAAGTTAATTGTATTTTTTTGTTGTATGCTTAACTTTTGTGCGTCTCGCTTACTATTAGTTGTGCATATTTCATTATTTAATTACGATTATTATTTTTTTTTAATTATGCGTGTATGTAAATTATTTAAGTAAATGAGTTGATTTTTGTTGTGTATTAATTCTTATATGTCGTATATGTACTAAATATTTATTTATATGTAAATCAGACCCTTTAGTTATGCGTTCACACTGACGACACAACATCAAAAGCTACTACTATTTTGTATTTGTTGCACTTTGCGGCCTACCGAAAATATTTAGAGTTTAAAAAAAAAGTTTGTAAGCTAACTAAAAATTATTTTTCTTAAACACTCTGTACTTAGCAACTTTCTTTTGACTCCCACTTCCGCAACTAACTTACTTTAGTAGATTTTTTTTTTTTTGTATAAATAAATCCCATTTTACTTAACCTCTTCCAGTCTTTGTGTTATACGTTTCGCCTGTAGCATTGACATATTTGCTGTTTTTGCTACTGTTGCAGCTGCTGCTGATGCCGCGGCAGCATTCGCTGGCACAGTCAGTATCGGTTCAGGTGATGGCGACGGTGATATAACAATTTCATTTTTAATGGTTAAGTCACTCTGCAATTTTAGCAATGACACAGCTGACATCGGCGATGTTGGCCTCGATGTGTCGCGCTCCTGTGGCGGTGCATGCAAAACGCCGATACCGTTATCCAAGTAATCATTTTGCATGATTGACCTTTGCTGATGTTGTTGGTGCTGCTGCTGTGCTAGCTGCTTTTGTTGCTGCTGTGCTAGTTGCTGTTGCTGTTGTTGATGCTGCTGCTGCTGTTGTTGTTGCTGCTGCTGTTGTTGTTGTTGCTGCTGCTGTTGTTGTTGTTGTGCCGCAGCACTCGCCGTGTATATTGCAGTTTGCATCTCCTCCGCCGTTGCCGCCGTAATCAAATAATTCAGCGGATTAAAACTGTTCGCGTCGCGCGCCACAAAATTCTCATGCGCCATCTTTAGATGATTCTTCATTTTATCCGGTCGCGAGAACTCCTTGCCGCACAAAGTGCAGGGGAAGACTTTGCGCACCTTACCCTCGTGATAGAGGAAGGCATGTCGCTGGAAGCTGTACTTGTTTTTGAACGTCTTTTGCAAGTCTTCTTTAGCGCACTCAGTGCATTGGTAGACACCTTCGTTGATGCGCGCATACCGGAAGAGATCGAGTCCACGCACCGACATTTCGGTCAAGTGTTCCGCTTGATCGTCGATTGTAGATTGCGCTTTGCGTCGTATACGCCGTCGTTGCACTGGCCGCCGGGAGGTGCCACTTGAGCGCGCCGTCGTAGTGAGAGCTTCAGCAGCATTCGAATTCGAATTCGCATTTGCATTCGAATTCTCATTGTCTGGTGCATCAATTATTGTTATTGTTGTAATGGCGACTGCATCATCCATGTTGCCTTGTGATGTGTCGGCGTTTTTGTAATCCAAACCCGCAGTCTCATCGGCTAGCGTCAATTCTGGCTCTGACTTGTCGGTCTGGTCGAGTATGAGATCCACATTTGTGGGCGACATGCTGTCCTCGCGTTGCAGCTCCTGTTCGAGCAATTGCGTTGATTGTGATGGCGGTTGTGTCTGCTTGGCTTGCGTTTGTTGTTGCTGCTGCTGCTGCTGTTGCTGTTCTTGTGCAGCTAATTGCTCCTGTTGTTGCTGATGCAGATTTTGTTGTGCCTGCTGTTGCTGTTGTCGAAAGAAATCAGCGCTCGGCTTTAACATGGGATTGGCGGCCATGTGGAGCAAGAACTGGTGGTGTAAATTGTTAGCCGATGGCGGCTGTATTGCATTGGGCGTTTGGCGTTCAGCAACACTCGCAAGCGATTGCAGCGCTGAGCAGCCGAAATCAGTGGTACTATTATTTGATATTGGTTCAATTGACACGTTGTTAGTAGAAATTTCTTTAAGTCCGGCGCGTAGCTGCTGCTTCAACAGAGAATTGGTGTTTTGTGCGATGTTATGTTGTTGTTGCTGCTGCTGGTGCTGCTGCGGCTGTTGTTGTTGTTGTTTATTTTGCGGTGAAGCCGTCAATTGCAGTGAATTACGTACCTTTAGTCCCAAGGCGGTGGGTAAGTGTGTAGTGGCATCCTGCGCTTCGTTAAGTTGTAGGAGTGATGCTTGTGTGGGTGTCGTTTGTGTTGCATCATTTTGTGACTGCTGTGGCTGTTGTTGTTGTTGTTGTTGTTGTGGTTGTGGTTGAACCGTGGCTGCTGGCTTAATCAAACCAAAGAGCCTTTGTGATAGTTCAGGTGATGTGGTAATTAATTGCACTATGAAAAGAATAAAAGAAATAAAAAAAAAAAAAATGTTAAAAATCACGGTAAAGTTTGACGACAGCTAAAATGCAAGTAATGTGGAGAACAACTGACGATAGAGCTCGTTTCCTGGTATAAAGCTTTTCGCCTACGCTATGTTTTAGTCGTAATTAATCTAAATTAGCTTTGCAGAGTATTCTGAATGCTCCCTCTGGCCCCAGCTGATCTAAATCAAGAACGACCAAAACATAGGCCACGGTAGAAGTTTTTCAAAACGTTCTATATGTTCGTTATATGTATGTAGATATGAGTAAGCACACCGAGTTAAAGATCTCTGCTCGGCACTGATTTAATTCAGTCAGAGAGTGAGCTTTTAGAAAATCTTCTTGTCAAAAAGTTGCATTTGCGACAAACACCAATCAGAGCATCTTTAAACAGAAAGACGAGGAATGCCACAGAGAAGCATTGCGTAGAGTTGACCGTCAGTTGAAAAGTGATAAGAACCGAATCATACGATATAGAAAAAGAGAAGCCAAAATACCGAAAAACAAAGTGTGAGAAATGTTTACCGACAGGAAAAAGTTTCTAATGTTTTACAGAGACCTCGGTGTCTTACGGAAATATCAATGACCGAACCGAGGCTGTAAGAATGAAAAAGGCGACTTGGTGACAGATGTCCAGAGGAGCCACCCCATACAGAGGATTTGAATGGCAACAGCACGGCACAAAATTAATAAAGCATAAACGAACTCCTGACAAGAATACGTTTCGCAGCCTGATCTGCCCACTTCACTAGAATGGCAACGGAAGCTACAACAATTGGTGTTACTGCCAAAAATCAAATAAGCTTCATTGGGATCGGTTTATAAACCGGCTTCTATGCTTGACATCGCGGGTCAGGTCCTAGAACGCATTAGATCGTCCGGCATCAGCAAAGCTATCGAATTATCTGGTGAACTGGGACAGAACCGTTGTGGTTTCCAGAAAAGGTACGATGCAGTAGACGTTTTTCCACAAAAAATGAAAACTTGTTCCATAAATGAACAGTGCGCCCTAATGGTAAACAATCAGGAAGTTGAAATGATCCAGCTCCTCTCATTCTTAACGTTTAGTTCCCTCAAAACTTGTGTTCTCTACAAGAGCATTATCCAGAATTTTGTTCTTATTTGATCCTCCTTGAAAACGTTCTCGATACTTTCGTTCTCATTGAAAATGTTCCCAAAAGTTTCGTTCTCAGTCTGTTCTTCTTAAAAACGTTCGCGAGAGTTTTGTTCGCATTTTGTTCTTTTTCGGAAACGTTCCCGAACCTTTTGTTCTCAAAATCGATTTGTGACACTGAATTCGGTGGTATGTAGAAACTCGAAAAAATCACGGCATTTTATAAAATACAAGTTTGACGTGTTGAGAACTTTTCAGAATAGCATGTATAAAGCTTTAACCATGTAGTTTGCTGTGACCAGTCTTATGACAAAAATAATTTGACAGTTTCGATACCCTTGTGCTGTATATCTACTCACTCAATCTTGTTGTGCAAACTGCAGCCAGTTGCGGTCTGAGTGCTATAATCTTTTTCGAACTTCTGGAAGAACTTATTCCAAAAAGGACAACAACGAGTTTATTAAGCAAAATGCTTAAAATGGAAACAGGGCTTGGAATGACACTTTGAGTAAAGTGAATTAAAGTATTGAAACCCAAGAGTGGATGTAGCTATTTAGACCACTGTTGATAAAGAAATGTTAGCAGTAAGTAGAAAATCGTTAGAGATATATAAAAATTACCTAGATGGCAATTTATCGAACGAAGTAATATGAGGCTAAGTGAGATTGAGGTTGTCCTTGGCATTCACGCTACTACCACACATTCAATATTGCAAGAACATTCGGCTGCTAAAAAGCTATGTGCGCGTTGGACGTAGCTTAAATATATGCTCAGGACCAAGCCAATCCCAGACCCAGGAAAAGGCCAATCAGCTATGT